GAGAAGTAAATACAAACTATAAATCGAGGGGTAGGAAGCCAAAGACAAGAGAAAAAGATAAGAGAAATCAAACCTACCTCTCCATTGCCTCTAGGTAAAGCAAAGTATCCCCTTTAGTATTTATCTGTAGAATTTGATGAAATATGTCTAAATTTAATCCTCCAGTTGTTTGTATGGCAGCAAAATCAATGATTCTCCCGCTGGGTAGACTGACCCTTATTTACTTTGAAGTTTGAACATCAATGGGTTGACCATCAAGGTAAAAGAAAGACGCTAAGAGAAAAAGACAGAACATACTGAGAACTGGAAGATGCACCAACAAAAAGTAATGTTCTGGGTAACGGGACGAAACTCATGCTCGCAGCATCTCACTCAAGGGGTTCAGAGACTCGAGGAAAAGACACAGCTATGAAAAGTCAAAACTTGAAAAAGAACTGATACATCCTTCTTCAACCAACAGGATATGGAAGAGGGACTAACTAGTTTTTGACTGCAGGGAACAGATTTAGATGACACTCTAGGACTATGTGAAGGTAGGATAACTTGCAAACATCAGCCCTGCAGAAAACAAAGATACCATGCAAACGATCATGTTTCAATTGTCCAACAAAGACGTAAAAGAGAATTCAGAGAGTCATATAAGCTTTCTATAAGCAAAGGAGTTTTGACGTGTTTTCAACTCTTATCATCTTCCTTTTTGAGTTTTCCTAAATTCTTGATAGCAGTTTTTTCCTTCTCTAAATTTCCATATTTTGTATGTATACTCCAAAAAAATCGTTAAGGAAATCTGATTAATCTCTTATTTCCTTATTGAGATACTAACAATAAATTCTACTTTTACCACACCACTAGGCCCCTTAAAATATTTCAGATTAAAAAAAACAAAAAAAACAAACATGTAAACTAAGAAAATTCATCAATTCAAAGTATTTGTGTAAGCTAAAATGCAAGTCTCAACAGCTTTATCCAGAAACCTATACCTGAATCAGAAATTTGCATGACACCTTCCGAAAAGATCGCAGAAGGTCTGACCACTAAGTGCAGTTCACGAAAGAGCCAATAAGGAAATCTGAGTGCACAAGAAACCGCCAATCGAGTGCTTCTTGCAATGAAAAAACTCGATACTGGTAGCAGCCTGAGCAGATGTAATCTTGTTCCATATCTCAAAAGAAGAAAATCCACTAAAAACGAAGCTTAATCTAACCTGATAGTGAGCACCAAATCAACAACATTAGAAATGCAACGAGCTAAGCAAAGAATACAAAAGGAATAATAACAATCCAATAAGCAGGTAAGGCCAAATACACAAAGACAAATTAACAATGAAATTCAGTTCTAATAGACTCCAAGCCATAGCAGCAAAAGTCATAACTCCAATGAAACCCTAAGAACTCAAACTGTAATCAAAAAGTATATCTGTGAAATTTTAGCAATGTCTAAAACTCCTAGTACACCACCAAATCTCAACTTCGTCAAAGTTTTAACCACAAAAACCAACCAACCATAGACTCAATATCAGATCTGAATGAACGAAGAAATACACAATCCAAAACGAAAACATAACAAAAAGCGTAACCCTAAAACTCCAATCAAAAACACAATCCGTATATATACGTTCAAATCCGACTCCACAAAATCTCAGATACGTGACTCCAATCATAAAACAATACTCAAAGCAAACGAAAACCAAAACGATTAAGCGCAAAACAATAAAACGAAGAGAGAATCAAAATCGCATCAGTCAAAACACGAGAAACAAAAAAGAACACGGGAGATCTCGATTATACCTCAGGAGCCAATAGGCATAAACTCCGTCTCCGACGACGGGAAGAGACTGTATCCAGAGCTTCTCCCTCACGACCTCACCGCTCTCTCTCTCTCTCTCTCTCTCTTTCTCTCTCTTTGCCGCGTATTTGTGTGGTTCTCGTGATAATAAACAAAAAATTAATAAACCCTACTTTATATAATATCTCAGCTAAAAAGGAATATATTATTAAGCAGTTTATTATGGTAGTGTCTTGTTGGTGCTAAGCTACAATCACCTACATCTCCACGGCTACTGTATTTGTTCACATTATAAACCGTGGATTTGTCGCTAATGACGTCATCTCATATATGAACCGTACGATTTTATCCTTTGCCTAATTTATACTCCGCGTTCCATTTCAAGTTGTAGCAGGAGATAAATACTTGCCTTGACTTTTCGTACAAGATTTATTTTATTTTCGTAATGAATTATATTGTTTCCTTTCCTTTTTTTCTGGCTCCTAGTATTTCCATTTTTCTCGTCAACAATATTTCTATATTAATATAATATTTTATACTACGAAATAAAGTAATTATCGATGTTAAATTAGATGTTGTACAAGCTAGGCAACAAAACTTACCATTTGTTATCTCGTCGATCCATTAAATGTATGTCTTAAATTTGTAAACCAAACACTATTATGTAATTTCGTTTCTTACCTAATGGAAAATTTGGCCGTCAAAAAAAAAAAAAAAATTAGATGTTGTACACACAAACGTGTGATTTCTCTGCAATTGCTGCGTTGTTGAACAGAAAGGCTCAAAAGCATGATTAGTGACACAATCTTCTCTGAGTCTTATCTGCAATCTCGAGTCTTTTTTTTTTTTTTTTCTAACAACAAATTTCTTAATCTATTCAATGTTTGAGACAAAAGTACATGAATGAGCAAGTTGAATCACACATTTTAACGAATCACTTGCAGATAAAAGAAAAATGTTCAAGCAGAAATACAAGGCATCGCAAAACCTAACTTGGTCTAAAGATATAACTAAGCAAGTTTGCATATGTCCTCGTACTCGATGGATCTGATGACTCTTCCATCATAGACGCTTTTCTCGATTTGCACTTTAGCGCAGAACTTCTCTGTATCCAAACCCAACAACCTTGCATTCGAGCGACGATATGCCCCATTCACTATCTTCACTATCCCTCCTATTTGTGGAAGCACAGTCTCTAGCTCCACCTGATCAACTCTCAACACATGTTTAGAATCAAGCATTTCGATCTCCCCAACATACTTATCAACCACTTTCTTCACAACACCCTTTTGCTTATAATACCCTTTCTCTGCCAAAGCCTTACTCATCACCTTCACAATGATTCCTTCAAACAACCAGTAATCTTTCCGATTCATCCTCGCCTTCTTCTTCTCTTCCTCCTTCATCAACTCATCCAAAGCTGATCTTTTATCCGTCTCGCTCCTTCCGGAGTCCCCGCTTCTCTTCCTCTTCTCACCTCTCTGAACCTTCTCATTCTCTTCATCCCCAAAGACAAGTTTCGAGCTTTCCACTCTCTCTTTACCCGTAGTAACCTGTTTAACACCTCCACCAAGAGCAAATACAACCTTAACCCCACTCTTCAACCTCAATTCTTCCTCTTTCTTCTTCTTATCATCATATTCCTCCACAACTTCTTTACCACTACTTTCACCTTCACCACCACCAGCATTCAATTTCTCAGCAGCTCTCTCAATCTGTTTCTGAATCTCCCTCTCTTGTTTCTCCTCCTCAGCTAAATCACTCTTAACTCTTGTTCTTCAACCTCTCCTTAAACAAAGTCTCCGAATCTCTATCTATATAAGTAATAAACCAACCTTTAGGAGTTTCTTCAACCTTACACTTACCTGTTTTCCCAAGATACTTGATGAACTCCGTCAACGTCGCCCACTCCGTGGAATTCATATGAACATGATGTCTATCGTTAACATACTCATTGTAAACAACAGTGGCGGCGATACGAGAGAAGCGGTGGCTCCGCCGCATCAGATCGAGAAACGTCTGCTCGAATTCTTCAGAGTAACCATCGACAACACGAGTTGGATTCTGCCCATAAACTTGCATCTGCCTCTGGTGCGATTCGCTCATACAATGACACTTGAATCCATTCTCATCTCGGCATTGTTTCTGACACATCTGACAATACCATCGAAGCTTTTGAAGTCCTTTGGCTTTGATTTGATTCGCAATCGCCTTCGGGGTTAGAAAATCGTTCTTACCCATCGATTCTTCGTGGGTTTGTAGAACAAAATTAAGGTCTTGGGAATTGAAATCTAGGGTTTCTCCGGTAACAACCACTAATCGATGGATCTGCAATCTCGAGTCTTTGTACACGCTTTCCACAAAAATTTAATTTAATTAAGGTTTGTTTTCTCTAAAATTAACTAATTAACATTCGTATCATATATGGGCTTTACAATACCCATAAATCTTTGTATATGGACTTTAAAAAGCCCAAATAAAACTCATTTCTGAATTTTATTTTATTTTTTTCCGGCATTTGTATAAATTTTAATTTGTTTCAGCTTCTTCTACAGTACTGAGCAACAATGGAGTTTTTCGACGAAGATAGGCCTAGGTTCGTCTTCCAATCTCGTCCTTCTTCTTCTCACACGACGGAGGAAGAAGAAGAACCTAGAATCCCTAACAAGATCTTCATTTTGATTTCCGTCTCATTCTCTCTCATCATACTCTCTCTCTCCTTCTTCTACTTCGAATCCGAGCCTGCTAAATCGCTTCTCTTATGGCTTTCCCTCTCCTTCCTCGTTGGTCCTTTCGCTCCTAGTTCGCTCACCGCAGGTAAGATTCGCGTCGGTTATGGTCAGATCTTGGAGCCAGAGCAGATTCACGATGAGTCATCTACGGATAACGAACGTGAATCTAGGAGGAAATCGGTGAACAAACGATCTAAAGGAACGACGAAGAACGATAATCCGCCGGAAAATACTTCTTCGGTGACGGAGGTTTCGAGAAAAGTGGCGATTCCGCAGTCTAAAGAGAGTGGATCTGTAAATGAAACCAAAGATTGGAGTGTAGAAGAAATCGAGATTTTGAAGAAGCAGTTGTTAAAGCATCCAGCTGGTAAGCCTGGGAGATGGGAAACGGTGGCTTCTGCGTTCAGAGGAAGGTACAAGACAGAGAATGTGATTAAGAAGGCGAAAGAGATTGGTGAGAAGAAAATCTATGAAAGTGATGATTACGCACAGTTTTTGAAGAATAGGAAAGCTTCGGATCCTAGATTGGTTGATGAAAACGCTGACAATTCCGGAGCTGGTGGAGATGAGGAAGGTAATAAGGAGATTTGGAGTAATGGAGAAGACATTGCATTGCTCAATGCTTTAAAAGCTTTTCCTAAGGAAGCAGCTATGAGATGGGAGAAGATTGCAGCTGCAGTACCTGGGAAGTCGAAGGCAGCTTGTATGAAGAGAGTTACTGAGCTTAAAAAAGGGTTTCGGAGCTCGAAAACTCCAGCCAATTAGCTAGAGAGGATCCAATGAGGTAATTGATAAACCAGATTCTTTGATTAAATAAGCTTTACTCTTTAGCATGAGACGACATGAAGCCACCAGAGCCATTTTCATTGTAGTTGCTACATTTCTGCAGAATTTATCTTTCTACGCTTGGTGATATCTTCTTTGGTGTTTAATTTTAATCAGGGGACATTGAGTTGGTGAAATGCTGATAACATATCCTTTAGCTGATGTTTTATGAATTAGGTTGCATAACGTCATAGGTAAAATTTTACTGATCTAGAATTGAGAAGAATTCTTTTGAAAACAGGGAGAGAAAGATTGTAACGTGAGGAATCATAGAAACTCTAGTGAACCTACTCATAGGGTCCTGGCTCATGATCTTGATGCTGGGATGGTTTGCTTTTTGATCCATGAATGGTTATATGATTGATGATTGTTATAAGTGTCCTGAACCTCCTTGTTTTCTATGTTTCTCATACATCATACCAAACCCCCATCAGTTTTCATGGAAAGCTATATGTGTTTTTTTTTTTGTGGTTTCTTGGCTTCCCTTTACATCTTCTAGTTTCTGGTCAAATTTTAGAAAGGAATGTAATGGTTGAACAGAACAATGCCAAAGCCCAAAGGCATACTCTTAACGGGTTTGCTAAAAGAAAATTAGTACGGAGCATTATAAATTTAATCTGGAAAGATTGAGTTGATGAAATGTTGATAACATATTCTTTAGCTGATGTTTTATAGGTTACTTATGAATTAGGTCTCATAACTTTATAGATAAGTTGCTGATCCTGAATTGATATCTCGTTTGAGAACAGCCGCGGAATTATTGAAACACTTGTGAGCCTACTTATTGGGTCCTGGCTCATGTTCTTGGTGTTGGTGTGGCTTGCTTTTTGATCCACTGGTTATATGATCAATGCTTCGTAAAAACTCTTGAGGCGTTTTTTCCATGTTTCTCATATGTCATGTCAGACCCCATCGGTTTCATGAAAGCTTTGTGCTAGTTTCCTGCAGCTTTTTGGCTGTCTTTTACATCTGCTAGTTTCTGGTCAAATTTGGTAAGGAATGCATTGCTTTGAACAGAATAATGCAAAAGACATGTTTGGCTAGGGGAAAGATTATGTCAACTTGACATAGAACTGGTTTATGTTTATAATTATGGTTTATGGTGTCTATCCCTAGTAGAGTATCATTGGTATAAATTTCTCCCTTTTGCTGAATGATTTGGTCACAGAAGTTGAAATTCACAGAATGAAGTCAAAATAGTATAAAATTATCTAATTTATCTTTACACAATCTTTCTTACTGACATGAACCGGTTAACGCAGGACATCTGTTCGAAGTAGGGCAAATGCCAGGAGAGGGAGAACAATTTTGTGGTTGCTGCTTGAGATTATTGCTACAAGGCCCAAAAGTAATGAAGAGAGTTATGCAGGAAATTTCTTTTAGAGGCAAGACAAAAAAAAAAATCTCAATATGCCAAAGAAATTAACATATGTAGATTTATGAGTTCTTCTTTACTTCAAGCTTTTATTCGAATTACAAGACTTGAGCATCTGTGTATCCTTTCCCAGAGAGCACCTATTTATTACTAGGGAAATTTATATATATATTATTAATCCAAACTAGAATTTTCATATATCAATTTTATAAG